TAGAAGGGCTTGCGAGACAACTGATGTACCAAGTCAATAATTTTCTTTCCGAGAAAATGTGGTGCGAACTTGCTTAGCTCAAAAGGTTTTCGTATGGCGGGGTCGAATCGAGGATCACCTGTGTATCGCTAACCACCTATAACCATTGTATTACACGCACCTTTTTGTAGAATGTATACATAATACAATATAGTACGTATATACACATATTTATACATAAATATACATGTATATGAGGGATTTTCAAGAGGTGTAGTTTTTCGCGCAGAATCTCTTGGTTTAACGAGGACGACGTGAAAAAAAATGATAGGTAAAGATCAGCAAAGCCCGAATGTCTTAGCAGATTTTTCACAACGTTCCATAAAATGTGTTCAGTGCGGCTTGTCGTCATCAGTTCATATGTCAAATATCATTGTGAAACCAGCACCGCTGCGAGTGAAGAAAAAATTTTGCACCAACTTTTCAAGCCGAAAAACGTTTTTTTACCAGTAGTTGTTACGGTAATGTCATTAACCGCTGCTCTCATTTGAACAGCAGTCAATCTTTGTGAAGTCGAAAAGTTTTTACTGTAGGTTTAATTTACAAAATGACATTCAAAACAATACGTTAGATGGAAACACGCAAAATTCTTTACTGGAACTGAAGATTACTTTGAAAAAATGGCCATTTGCACAAATGTTGTGATATCATACCATAGTTGATGATTGGCGGTACTTTGACACTAATTATTTATATCCTAATATTTTTAACCAAGTACTCTTGAGAAATGACAAAGAAATCCCGATCATTCAGAAAAAGAGAAATCGAAATCACTACTCGAGAAATACCGTCAGAGGAATCGAAATTACCACTCGAAACATTACTTTGATACTTTCAATATAAAGATTAAGAAGATAATATGATCAATTTCGCTACTTTATTTTTGAAATATTTCCATGCAGATTTTTTTTTTGCAACAAATAAAACGATAATTCGGGTCTACCTTTCGAAAACATGAGAACAATAACGAATAAAAACATGCCGCTTTGCTCAATATCACAGAAAGCTTTGTTTACGCACACGAGTCGAGAGATAAGGCAAGATAAGACTAAATGAAAGGTGTCATTCAATTAACTCAATTCCATAGATTTTACTCCTCTTCAAAAAAGATCTTTGCGATGGACAGAGTTTTCATCAAATCAGCATTCTTCCGATTGTATGATTATCGTTTTTCTGCCTGAAATTTCCTAAATGGAGACAGTAGGCTACGTCAGGATCATCACAACACGCACTCTGGTGACCAATGTGGATCGAAGGAAATTTCATCGCCTTTCAATAGAGCTTCTTCCAGGGCGATGTTCGACGTCCGTGATATCTGGTCGAGTGAACTAAAAAAAATTAGACGAGGATGCATCAGTGATGTTAAGGAAACGGTAGTGATCAATTAATACATGCGAATGATTGGCTCGTGATGCCATCGTGCTTCACTATCATGAATATCAAACTGACAGCCAAGATTCTAATGGAATCATACATACATACAGCAACCAAAGATCGTTGATAATACCACGTCGTTACTGTTTAAGAATGAACAGCTGATAACAAGCCAATAGACAATGGAGAAAAGTATCCACGACGAGTTTAGGTCTTTGCTAAATCGGTTAAGGTCCAGTACCACCTATCAAATAAACTCTACAATAACCACTTCAACAAAATCCAATCAATAATCACAGTACTGGAAATTACTCATGTCGAATTCTCTCAAAATCCACCTGTTCAGAAGCATGACGATATAGAGTTTAATTCTGGTGAAAAACCCTCATACGTATTCTAAAAAGTTTCCTCAAAAATATTTGCAATGATAGTGCCTTCCCACTGCAGACCACGAGTACAATCTATTTCATAGAATTAATGAAAATAATGTCGCTATAATATTCAGTCAAATTAGCGAACAAAGCATTACTTAATTTATTAGTGTCAATAAAGTATAATAAACGTATCCAAAGATTAGACACGGTTCCAAACGTGAGAGAAAGCATTACCGTAGTTGGTTTTTTCATTTCTCACTAGATACTGCTAAAATAAACTTTATTGACAATGGGGATGTAAAACTATTGTATTAAGCATGAAAGAAGATTTTTTAGACAGGACGGACAGCTGTGGCTGAGAGTAGTTGAGATCATATGTCGATGACGAATTTCGAGATTAATGTTGAGAAGAAAGAGGGTTTCGAATTCGTCCGGATTGTCAGATCTCTGACACCGGCAACAACCAAGTCTTGATAACAACATGCTTTAGAAAGCCGTCAGACGACGACAGTGATGATGATGATGATGTAGACGATGGTGATGATGATGACAACGACGATACGATACGGCTTCATCGCCATCGCCGTCGCCCACGACGTTCATTTCCAGCCACGAATGCAACGCCTTTTCCCACGCCCACTCTGCGCCATACTCGCCACACGCGCTGTTTCGTCGCCGTCTAACCTCGTTGACCACGCCCATCAACGCGTTGCGCGCGTTACAGGAATTCTTTTGCCGCCATTCCACGCATTCCTTGCGGTTGCTTCGTGTTTTCGTCCTGGTTTTCCTGGTATATTTACACGTTCACAGGTACACACACCCACATACATACATACACACACACGTACACACATACATACACACACCATGTATACACATACAAGCGCGTGTATACACCTATACACACACAATCGTGCACATTTTCATGCTAGGGGTAGGGTTTATATCTTCCATGATATGCACCATTTGTCAACTAATATGAAGCTTTGTACAAGAAAAGGTGCTTCAATTCATTGAAACATAGACAGATGCGAGATCAATGAAAGAAGTTCCATTTTTTTTTTGTAAAGTACGCAATCGCTTTTACTACCCCACAGTAACCCCTTGGTAGTCGGGAAATCCATCCCTTTGAAATCGAGTGTGACTTTTCAGCTTTTTTTCGCTACTTATTCAATTGAACAAGTCCACAAGTGTCTACCCCGTGAAACTGTGTTGAGTACTTTACTTTCCCTATATTAAAAATCTTTTTCTGAAGCATGGGCACAGTTGATTTCCTCATAAAGTATCGTTCAGTAGATTTTTATCACGAGAAGATCTCTTCGAATGAATTCTGGTCTTTTCACCCGTCATATCTTTTTTTTTTAGCTTTTTCCTTCCTTTTGGTATTTTCAAAGTCATCTACGGTAGTAGACCACATTCCATATCCATATCACATTAACCGGTATCACCTTCATTATCTGTTTCTTCCTCATATAGCCGCAAAAAATTTTCTGTTACTTACGCCTAGCAACATCTTGTGACTCTTTTCTGAAACAGAAAAGCTTTACGATTTCCGAGGATTTCATCGTTTCATTCACTTTCACTCCCGCCTTTCTCTCTCCTTAGTCATTTCTCCGCCATAATCTTTCATTGATGTACTTTTCCTTTCTATATGCTTTTACCCAATTCTCTTCTCTTCGCTCTCTGACAGCTATAGAGTTTTTTTCCACTTTAAGTAACGTCTACATTAACTAGTTTTCTGAGAGTTCTTGAATGTTTCTATAGGTAGCTGTATATTTGTATAAGAGCATCTGTAGCGACAGTGAAACTCGTTTCGCTCGCATCCACTTCATTGTCGACGGACGCGTAAGAAAAGGAATTAGACGATCGGTCGATCGATCGGTCGACTCGTCGATTGATTGGTTGGTTAGTGTCGATTTGTGATGTTCGCCAGCCTGAAGCAGTCTCTCTGTTCGATACCATGCCTTATTTTCACATCAAATTAATCGATAGGCGTCAATTATGGAGGGAAAGGTCACGAGTAATTCATGCGACACTGGAAAACCATCTGCTCATCGTGGTGTGCGAGCGGACGACGCGCATAAAAGCGCGTTCTGACCGACCGTAACCTCCCTACCGGTCGTTTGGTCGATTAGCGGCCATCTCTACACGGCCGCCGCGGTCTCTAAGCTTCGTCCGACCTGAAGATGACTCAAGGTCACATACATATACCCTAACACACACACACTATACACATACACACACATACGTTAAGACACGTCTTATCCTGGTGCGTCCGTATCCGTTTTGTCTGTACCCTCTCATTCTTGTGTTATATTTGTTCGATGGGTTGAGTCATATGTGTTTCGTCGCCACGCGGCCGACGGAGCGGCTCAACTTGTCACCGCAGCGATCGTGATGCGGCAGTTGTCGTCGCGCCACTGTTATCACTTTGAAGCTATCATGCTATTTTTCTTGATAATGTCGCTTGTTACGAGCCAGCCAGCCGGTCAGGAGGCCAACTGAGAACTAAAATGTGGATACGCAGTTTATAGATAATTATGTCGCAGTGTTATAGCCGTAGGATTGAAGCTGATTTTATGAACACAGGAAATTTAGCAACTCAACGATATCATGAGAGAAACGTCGCTGTAAGCATTGAACAGACAAAACGATGTTTTAAGCGCTTCAAAGTACGTTTGTAGAGTATCTCAAAGGGTAGCATGAAAGCTCTCATATCAGCTGCAAGCAAGCGGTGGTTGTTATCATCGCAGCGATTAAGGTAGCTGATTCTTTTTCTACTCGAATGATTACATATGGTGAAACACACAACCACATGCTGTTGTTGTGATCGTATGAGGTAGATTTCTGCTGCTGTCATCTTATGTAGTCGTTGTTGGTGGTGATAGTGGTTGCAAATTAGCTAAGAAAAAAGATCAGTCATCAACTTAGTGTCAAGTTGTTAGGATGTTTCGTGGTGTAATTGTTGAGGTGGAACTGGTGGTGATGATGATGGTGATGGTGGTAGTCAATGTTGAGAACCAGTTAGTTCATATTTAAGTTACAACTGTTCAAAAAAGAACCATATACTGTACTTAATGGATCTGTTGTGATGTTCACACTGTAAATTGAAATGATGTCGAATGAAGTTTTGGGTGGCTCCATCATCATGGATCTGAACAGATCAATCAATAAGAACTATATCCACCGATGGAGAAAGATATGTAAAAGTTTCGCGTCAGCTGGGACTCGAACCCACATTTCACCCTATCCAGAGGAGCATGCTTGAGCCGTTGTACTACCGATGCCTGTTTTGACACCACTATTTCTAGCCATAACGCATTTGAAAATTTAGAAAATATATCACAGAGGATTTTTCCTTCCATGTTCGTTTAGGGGATCAAATCACACTACTGATATCTGCCTCTTCATTCTTTTCTTAGACAAAGAACTTTGAACGACTGCCACATCCAGCCAGCCGCTGCAACCATCGTGTATACTTGCTGGCCTGCCAGCTGTCCTTTCAGCCTTTCGGCTATGTAGTGCAGTGCAGTGTCAGATATTCTCGGCATATATACACCTATCATAAGACTCTGCTGTTCCCCCTAGGCTAAAAATTATATGCGGATACTTTGAGGCATATTATGTAATCAGTCGACCGTTGAATTTTGGAGATCTGACACCACCATAAATCTCTACCGGTTGTTGTTTCTTTGATTCAAGCTTACTGAACCATCATGAAGATCAGATCACTGAAGTGTTGTGATGCGGAATAGATGATTATTTGAACACATCTATAGCTCAACATCATGGTAAACGATCAACAAAGTACGTACGGAATTCGTCAAGCACTTCATGAGACGCAAATTATGGGAGTGTATAGATGAAGATTAGTAAATTAGTATGTATTTTTTCGCATCATTATAATCTCAGTAGACTACAGGATTCAAAGATCATTTAAGCTGTCGAGTTTAGTGCATGATGAAACGACGTTGCAAGATACTTTTTTTCTTTGATGTTGTCGTTCATCGGCCTGCAACCGGCCGTTGTCTGTGCCATGTGCCCACCAATGTAATCATGAGAAATCGTACAAGTTTTGTCGTCGTCTAAATTAAGGGGACTGATCAATTCTCCATTATTGTCATCCCACCCCCGCCCCTTCCCCAATTTCTTATTCTCAGTAACGAAGTATCGTTCGCAGTAATAACATATTACGTGGTATTAACATGTTTCCGCTAATAGCAATTATGAAATTAAGAAAAAGCAGAAAGAAAAGTAATGTAACATAAAAGGTTTTGCTCTCTGTAGACATCCACCCAATTCTTTGTATGGCATTTCGTCATTCATGGCTGTTGATAATGATGAGTTTCATGAACACGTCGTTTATTTTGAATTATACAAATTATACACGATTTTGTGTCCCTAACCAATTCATTATGGTCCAATATGGAACGTTTTGGAATGACCAAAAAATATAATTCTTTGTCAAAGTCACTCACGGCATTTTTCTCTGGTTATGCTACAAGGTTTACAGACTTTTGCTAATGTTTTTGTTCTCGCAGGGAATCAAATCTGTTTGATATTTGACTGATCGTCATATCATTTAGATAACTGTGTTATCTGTTCCTTCGTACTGATTTCTTTGAATGAGTTGAATGCGACGCCAGCATGGATCATGCTTGTGAAAGTTAAATACAAAAAAGTCAAATACAGCAGGAACTCCATAAAAACAACATTATTATGGTTAGGGATCCTTGGCGTAATTCAAAGGTTCGTTAGTCCATTTACCTGCCCCAGGGCAACCGAGCCTTCCATCTTTCCGAAGTCGGCAATCTGTATTACATTTGTCCGGAACAGTAGAATATAATAGGTTAATTGAAAACCACCGAAAATATTTGTATACGCAGTCTGCGCTCAGTTACCCCTTACGAGGCCACTGTTGGAGCTGAATTCAGTGTGTATACTTTACAAATGCTGAACACATCAAATGATTTGCCCGTTATCCTTCGACTGTGGTAGATTGAGCGACAAATTCAAAACTGTCGGGTCTGATCATAATGCGATGAGTCCGACGCAAGAGGAAGAAGAATAGCAACAATAAGACACATGTACATAGGTGCACTTCTCCATAGAACTCGTTTCCTTGAAAAAGAAAAGAAACTCTATAAACAATGGTATATGGTGATGTATGTTAAGTGTGTCACTAATACGATACAATGGAGACTGATGGTGATGATCGTCGCAAGTGAATTAAATCTAAAGTACGCGGTTTCTCTATTCACCGTTGTCATCTCGCTACGGTACCATATAATACCAAAACTGCGTCTTCCAAATCGTTTGTCTAGAGTTCATTTGGTGTTAATTGGATATACATTTTATGCGAATGTGTAGATATTTCACTCATCGTGATTGTAATAATGCTCAAAGTCAATGCGTAACATGTGCATGGCTTTCGACACTCGGCAAATTGCAAAGTGTTAAAACACCAAAGAGTACGACGTTGGCGTAACACAATACGAGCGTGTAAGAAATGCCATCTTCATTTCTCGCATAACAATCTATTTACCGATCAATTGAATCAACTGAGAGGAAGTTTCAGGATGTAACCATCGCGAGGCCTTATCATCCATTAAACCATTATATGAAACCCATAAAGTTGCTTCTCATCAGTGAGTCAGTATGTCATTGGTGACATATCAGTATCACATTATCGCTTGTCCTGCTAAGAATGTGAGATGAAGCTCTTTCGAACTTTATCTTCTTCCACCAAAATTTTTCTCGGTACAGCTTCCCATTTAGTGGTTGATACGTGTAAATGTGCACGACAATTATGTCCAAGTGTAGGACAGAGGTCACTGAGTTTGCCTCAAGCATCAGTGGAAATGAAGACGTGATCCTTCTTTATCGATGAGATGTAGTGATTTTGGGCACTACTAAGTGATTAACGGTGTAATGCTTCTATTTTTCATGCTGAATTAGGCTGGCATAACTCATCACGCCATCACTGGTCTTTCATCTTCAGTCACACTCTTCAATAGGTGCAATGCTCTTTTCAGTGTTCCGTAAGCGTTATACTGGTTACCAATCATTAATATGATTAGGAGCTTATCTCTACGTTTCCTAAGACACATCACATATGAGCAAAGCAATCAACTTTTTTTGCACACATTGAAAAATTATCTATTAATGGTTAATGTCATATTAAGAAGTTACAGCTCAATCGAAACTTAAAAATTTTCCGTCTCGTCTACTGCTTTGATATCAGGACTACTCTCCTGCATTTGCTATGTAATAAAACTCGATACCTTATCTACAAATTCACTCAACCACGGCTGCTTTACTTGATGTCCACTAAACGAACAGAGCTTCGATAGGGCAACCTTGGCCCGCAACAGGAAGTAAAAGCAGAGGAAGAGTGCTTTACTGGAAATTGCTTGAGCTACTCGATGACTGATAAGGGTAGGTGATAAGAAATGAATGGTAAAGAATACCGACTTACATATAATACACAAATAGCCGTCATCACATCGTTTCACCACTTTGTCTCAAGCTGCTTACAGCTCACCTCTGATCTGCATAGGTGCTTAGGGTACAAGTTTGAAATTTAACTACAACTCAATGAAGACTCACCTTCGTGTTGCGCCACTGGCAGCAGGTGTGTTGAATGCTGGGTGAGTGTAGTTTTCATGAAATGCCGGAATAATCGTGTTAATAACATAATAGTGCACACCAGAGGTGCAGTGCAATGGAGGTGCACCACAGGCTCATTGGATCTGTCCTTAGTTCAATGGCGCAATCAAACTCATCAAACCTTTCTTCCGTGGTGGCGGCGGAAATTGCTATTAAACTTGTCTATGAGGATCCCTGACTACACTTGTTTAACTGATTTGGTACATCAGTTGGCCACCACAATTAATTTTGGAGTTCAAATATGCGCTTCATTACCTCTAACGTGTCGCAAGTAGAGCTATGTGATATCTCATATCACAAGTATTTACCAATACTGAACTAACTAGTCGACGAAATATCTTTCTTTTACTGCTTATAAGTAGTGTGATGATGTTATGACTACATATTCAAACACGTTGAGTGCGATGCTAAACTTGAAATCTCATACTACAGTTCAAGTCAGCACTATGTGTAGTGAGATCACGCTCTCCCAGTATGATTGAAATGCGTGTTCAACTGCTTCTTGAGATTTTAAGGGTTGCATTTCGGTGAACCCAGCATATTGTATCATTTACTGCGACAGAAAACAAAAATCCAAGAGAGTTATAACTATTGCTCAATTATTTATATGATGCATTTGATGAGAGTTACTGATGCCCTTATGACTAACCTTTCTGGTGTTCTTGAGAATTTAGTTTTAGTGAAGGTTGGTAAGAATTATGCTCACAGTGAGTCGCATAGTGCAGAGTTTTTTGTGTATTTCGAGAAACATACCCATTTGTTCGTTACACTTTCTGATAACGCCTCCGTTTCTGCTTGAGAGAAAAGTACGTTTGATGCAATTTGCAAAACAACCTGCAAAAAAAACAGCAATAGGCATGTCATCAAACGACCGCCTGGTTAGCTCAGCGGATAAAATTGCAATATGCAATACACACATGGTCTTTGATTTAACTGCATACCGGCTAAGGCAATCGCCCAACTACGGATGGTAAATTGGTGCAAGTTTGTTAGGAAATGCTCGATCCTATCCGTAAATGTTGGTGTCGTCCTGACGAGCATATGGTGGTGATTTAGCAAGGATTCTTGGGATATGTATATGTGTATATGTCTGTATACATATAAATCACTTCATTTCCATTTTATTTGGTCCTAATCACAGTTTCTTCTCCACTGTGCAGCATTCACTTCGTTTTTCGTCATCTTCATGAACACGGTAGAATGCTTGTTGAGCAGTCGCTTTGCGAGGGTAGCCATGCTGGGCGTCTCTTAGGACGTTCATATTAATTGTCAAAATGTCGGAAGGCTGTGTAACTAAATCTGCGTCGAGCCGCTCCAACCTTCACTAGCCACTCGGCTATAACCCCCATATATATACACAAGTGTGTATATATATATATATATATATATGTGTACGTATGTTAATATATATCACGCAATTTCCACTATTGCTTGGCTGTCAACGCAAATTCTACCCCAATCAATAATGGTCAGGTTATATATTATATATATATATATATATATATATCATATATATATATATATTATTATATATATTATATTCAAAATATCACACATGCTCCCATAATTTCCCGGCTGTTAACGTTTGATCTGCCACAAATCAATAATGGCGCTTTGT